ATTATAAATTTGAGGCCAGCCTCAGCAACTTAGTGAGATCTTGTCTCAAAAAAAAAAAAAAAAGAAAGAAAGAAAAGAGGTGGGGAGCTAGGGATGTGGCTGAGTGGTAAAGCACCTCTGGGTTAAATCCTCAGTATCCCCCCCCCCCCCGCCCCCGCCCTAAAAACAAAAACAACAACAACAAATGAAAAAGAAAAACAACTGTATGGAGGTTCTTCAAAAAACTGAAAATAGACTTTCCATGTGATCCAGGAACTCACTTCTGGGTATTTACATCCCTGCATTTCAGGAATAAACCTCATTTGGTTATGGTATATAATCCTTTATTCTGCTGTTGAGTTCATTTTGTGGAGGATTTTTGTACAATATTCCTAAGTGATGTTGGTTTATAGTTTACTTGTAAACTATCCCCAGCCCTTTTTAATTTTCTTTTCAGATAAGTTCTTGCAAAGTTGCTCAGACTGGCCCCAAAGTTACTTGTAATGTCTTTGGCCTTGGTATGAAGGTAATATTGGTCTTTCATTTCTTGGAAGAGTTTGAGAAGAAATGGTGATAGCTCCATTTAGATGTTTGGTAGCATTCACCAGAGAAGCCATTTGGTACTGGATTTTTCTTTGTTGGGAGGTTTTTTGATTACTGATTCAATCTCCTTACTAGCTATAGGTCTATTCAGATATTTTATTTCTTAATGATTTAGTATTGGAAGGTTGTCTTTTTCTAAGAATTTACCTGTTTCAGACAGTAGAATGTTTCAGACATTCTATTTGTTGGCTTGTAATTTTTCATAGTACTCTTTTATGATACTTTTTATTTCTGTAAAATCAGAAGTAATGTCTCTAATTTTATATCTAATTTTGGTAATTTGAATCTTTTTTTTTTCTTAATCTAGCTAAAGGGTTGTCAATTTTGTTAATCTTTCTGAAGAACTGAATTATGTTTCATGGATCTCTATTTTTCTATTCTCTATCATTGCTCCAATCTTTATTTCATCTCTTCTGCTGGTGTTAGGTTTAGTTTGACCTTCTTTTTCTGGTCTGTAGGGTGTAAAGTTAATTGGTTGAATCTGATTCTTTCTAAATTGGTTTTTATCTTTATCAGCATGTGTGTGTGTGGGTTTCATTGATTCTAAAACATACATTTTCACATGTCATAATTGTTGAAGTCAGGGTGTGTTTTACAATTAAAGTGGAATAAAATGTGTCTTATTTTATTTGGCAGAATTTTCTTCCTTAGTGGTACATAAGAATGTCATTTCTGTTGATGGCATCTTAGATTTGATAAACACAAGTCATATAAACTTTGTAATGAAGATCAGTCCCCCTTAATCAGTGCTTTCATTAAGCACTAAAACAAAGTCTGTAGTCTGCCTGTTATAACCATGACTGGGATCCTAATTAGAATAAGATATACTCCACGTTTGTATCAATATGTCAAAAATATATTCTACGGTTATGTATATCTAAAAAGAACAAATAAAAAAAGAATTCAGGAAAGTTTCCACTAGCTGATATCTAATGGAGAGGTTGGGGAAATCTTAATAGATGAAGGGGGACATGGGATAAGCTCTAAAAGATAAATAGTCCAGTCAGAAGCTAAGGTGAGAGAGAATGAAATGGAATGGTAATTAAGTGTTGTAGTTCAAAGAGGGGATGATCACTTTCAGCTGATAATGTAGCACAGTTGACTAAGATGTGTCTGGAGTGAAGTCTCTATTCAGCTATAAAGCAGCTTGTGACTTTGACAGGTCATTAATCTCTTCAACTGAAAACCTGGGAGATTATCTCTAAAGTCCCTCTCAGGTCAAAAGTTTCTTTAGGGTATTTACCATTAAAATTCTTTTTGACTTTTTGAATGACGAATTATAATTAAGTGAATTATAAGAAATGACTACATAGCTCATGCGAGTGAACCTAGGAGCATTGTAGCTACTCACCTTCATGAAAACAGTAATTATTTTAAGTTATAGGTAAGTCAATGATTACTTAAGTTAAATTTTCTATGCATGTTACTGTAAAAAAATACATGTCCACTTGGTGTATGTATTTATTTTATATATATATATATATATATATATATATATAATGATTTTTTCTTCTAATGTAGTAAAAAACTAAAACCTGATGGAAAACAATCCTGACCTTATCATCTCTTTGCTTCATGTAACATATAACTGTGCTGTTCATCAATGAGGAAACAAATTTAAATTAATTGTTATAAAAACAGTGTCTATTTGTTTCAGGTGTTTGTGCCAGGGGAGGTGGTTTCAAATAAGAAGCATAGCTCCTGCCTTCCAATAGATCATGGCAAAGTAGAAGGCAGTTCAATAAATCACCAAATTTTACAGTGTGATATATGGGAGCTCAGACATTGTGCCTTTGTACTTGTTATCTGTTTTGACTTATCTAGCACCACTCCCTTTTTCTGAAGTGGTTTCTGGATTTTTCTCTGGGAATTATCCCCCCTCTTATCCCAGGCACTTGGAGTGGAACTGTAGGCAGAAAATTCAAACTTGGTCAATTACAACATCATGTATTTTGGAATACAGTGATTGGCTCATGGACACTCCCATGATCTAAGCCAAGACAGCTGGCTGTAGTCAGAGGGATTCTTGAGACATAACATAGTAACATTCAAGGATCAGCAAATATTGGGCTATGGTTGGAGAATTGAATCTGAACAGTGTGATTTGGGAGATGAAACTGAAAATAATAAGCAGGATCAGTTTATGAAGTTCCTTTTAGGCTATGCTGAAGAATATGGATTTTTTCCCCCCTGAAGAGATGGGGAGCCATTAGGTGATTTTAAGCATGACATTCACATGATCAACTCACAGGATCACATTAATGTTTTAGACAGATTAATATTGTGGTGATGTGAGTGCTGGGCTGGAGGAAGATGAAGAAGAAAGCAATGAATTAAGATGCAATGAGAGATCCAGGTCAGGCAAGAGAGGCATTTTTTTTTTTTTTTTCCCATCAGCTCTCTAGCACACCTATCTGAAAGAGGTAACATGATAGAAACACTTTCTTTAAAAAACTATTCTGGCTACATCTCAATTTTCAGGGAACAAAAGCAAAATGAAGTTTCATTTTAGACTGTTTCTCAAACTTTAATTTGCATATAAATCAACTTTGAATCTAATTAAGATGCAGATTTTTTATTTTATTTTACTTTTTGGGTACTGGGGATTGAATCCAGGGGTACTTAACCACTGAGCCACATCCCCAGCCCTTTTCTGTTTTTTATTTAGAGACAGAGTCTCACCCAGTTACTTAGGGCCTCACTAAGTCCCTGAGGCTGGCTTTGAATTCACCATCTTCCTGCCTCAGACTCCGGAGCCACTGGAATTAGAGGCTTGTGCCACCATGCCCGGCAAGAAGCAGAGTTTTGTTCAGTATAATTCCAAGGTGGGATTTGCATTTCTGTATTTCTAACAAGCACCCATGTGCTGCTCATGCTGTTGGCCTGAGGACTTCGAGAAGCAAAGGTTTAGTATTCTTTGAGATGTAAGCAGGTGATTTAAGTTAAAAGTGCAGCAGGCAGTAGATGTATGGGAGTATAGTTTAGGAGAGCCGCCTGGGCTGGAGATATTTGGGTGTTAATGGCACATGGGAGGTGACCATGCCAGAATATAAGGACAAAGGCCCAGGAACAGTGTTTGGAGAAAAAGGGAAAGAGGTCTAAGGATAGTCTGTGGGTAGTGCCAGCATTTGAGAGCAGTTGGAGGATAAGTCAATAAGAAGCCTTCAGTTCCCAAGCTTCTTATATACAGCTACCATTTATTGAGCTTCTATTTCTGACACTGTGCTAAAAGCATCAACTTTTCTCCAAACACAGGGTATATTTTTCTCTAACCACACACCTTTTCTTGCAGGTGAGTCTCTTTCCTGATTCCATGCCTGGCTTGGGCCTGGGGGTTCTGGCCTTGATTGGAATCTCTCAGACCTAGAGTTCAGCCTTCCTAGTGGTGCTATACATTCACTTCTATCTTGGATTGTGCCACCTCCCTCAGTGACTAGGTTCCTAATAGTCACAGACCCTGCGACCCATCTTTTCTGCTATTCCCTTGGATTCCCATTTACTTTAAAAGCCTTTAACTTCTCTCTCCACTGGGTGAACAGAGAATCACTTCAACAGGGTCGGGGCAGGTGTTTTTGGTGCACAGGGACTTTTTATTCTGTTCTGGGCCTGGAGAAGCCCCAGATCCTGTACCAGAGCTATCAAAGAGTAGCGGTTAATCATTCTCTGCGTTCTTTTACAGGACTGAGAATAAATTATTTTAATATTCTTACAAACCTGTTACCATACGTGCATTGTCTTCCCTACAATCACTCCATGCATAATTCCCACTTTGTATTCTGAAGCAGGGATGCATTTAGAAAATTACTTCAAGTCAACACAGCTGTTAAGTAACTGAAGCAGTGACTCTAAATTATGGGCCTTAACTCTGGACCCACGAGGGCTTGGTATGCTCAGTTCCTACAGAAATACCTTGCTCAAAGTTATGTGTGAGTGGCAGTAACCAAACTCAAATTCAGAAACCTTGTATTCAGAGGGGTTAGTCTCTTGTGAGTGCATCTCAGTCAGAGAGCTGGCGGTTCTTTATCTTCCCGGATAGCTCACAGCAATGCTATGCTAATTTTACTAAGGTTTAGAGTGTGTTGAAGACTTGCTATGGCCACGAAGCCAGGACCATGATTGCTGGCTCCAAATGTGATGTTCTTTTTATCACACCAAAGAGGCCCGCCCTTCTAACCGCTCTAGGTTGGAAGTCTCGCCCCTAGGTTAACCCCCAATACAAACTACAGCTCACTTAAGAGGCGCCGCAGGAAAAATAAGCTGGCACAAGCAAACTGTTGCACCAGACTTCAGCAGCCACGGAGCGCTCCTCAGCGCGCATGCGTCAGGTCTCGCCCCTCCCCTCGCACGATTCCCGCCACTCCCCGCCCCTTTCCCGCCCGGATGTCCTTTTAGTTTTGCCGGATGTTGTTGTGAATCCGAGAGACACGTGAGGTACGGCGACGTCATCACCAGGCACGCGCAGGAAACATGGCGGCGGCGGGTGTTGTGAGCGGGAAGGTGAGTAACGGCCCCAGGGAACACTCCCGGTTTTCTCCGAGACACGGGTGCTTTTGGTGGCTGGGTCCCGGCAGGGGAGGGGAAACGAGGGCTTATCTTCATCGGGAACAGCCCATGGCGGATGTAGAAGAGGAGGACTGGGTTTTGTCAGCTGTTTTCCCTGAATGCCGGTTCAGCCAGGGAGTAAGAGCCACCGAGGCCTTGGCTCTCTATGCTCTGCTTTGCACCAGAGCCAGGTGGTTTTCGTTTGTATTATTTTTATTTAGGGACAGGTGGCTCTCTAGTGCGGGGGAGGGGCTTCCTGACTCTTGTTCTGTCTACTCTTGACTCCAACGTCTTTTCTGTCTTTTGAGACGGTAACCAGACCTGCAGGTGTCTTTATTTGCTTCCCTCTGGTGAAGGCGTCTATGCTACCTTCTGGAGGACTTGAGTAGATGCTTTGCAGCCGTGCGCTTAGTAGAAGAGAGCCTGTTGGGTCAATTTTACAAATTACCAATTTTTGTGATGGTTGTCAGCAGCAAGATATGTTTCCATAGAGAGAACTGGACATTTGCACCATCCCATGCTTGTCTTTAAAGGAATTTGTTGAATCATTTATTTCTTAGATGTCTCCGGAGTGATTCCATGGGGGTATCTGTCGTGCTGTTTCACAGAGGGTAGGCAGCGACATCCTCCTAGTTGGGTAGGAACTAGATGTGGAAGAGATTTCGTTATGTATTGCCAGTTCAAGTTCCAAGGGCACAGTTTATGCATGTTTAGGGCTGTCAGCTTTATGACATGCAACTAGCAGCATTTCCCAGAGTCAGGGTATATCGTAAACAGCTGGGGCTGATTAGTAATGACTCATAGAACACTAAGGGCTGTTTACTCCTTTTAGAGATCTTCCTCTGTTCCTTGAATTTCACTCATACTCTCCCTGCTGTATTCCTTTCCATTTTGAATTATTTGACACCGTTATGGTTTGATCTATGGAGTAGACTAGGTGGCAGAATAACAAATATGATCTTCCTTCTGCTGTTCATCAGAAGTGTGACCTTGGGAAATTGGGCAGTTACGACTGCTTTGTTCTTCATATGCTTAATGGGCAGAATGGTAGTGATGCTAATAATTATTTCTTGTATTAGAGTACTTAGGAGTACATAAAACTAAAATATGAAATAGATTACATCTTTCATGTACTGCCTCTTTTGAATAATAGGTTGGACATCCTTTTTTGGATTGTTTATGTTCTTACCAATTTTTGTCTTTTTTATTCAAGATGGATGCTGATCTTCTGCTTAACTTTCTTAGAAAGTTATCTTATTTAATTTTCCATTTGGGTGAGCCAATCTAGCACTTTCCAAGAAGAGATGCTTTCCATTTGAACTACACCCCGCCAACCCCCATTTCAGGCTTGGTTTGATTTTGAAAGAACCCTTGAAAAAGCAGAATTGTGAAATGTAAATATTTTTCACTCCTTCCTTGAAGCCATTATCTTTCACAGTTTGACTTATTAAAATTTATCTTGTACTTCCTATTTTTAAATATTTATTTTTTAGTCTTAGGTGGACACATATCTTTATTTTATGTGGTGCTGAGGATTGAACCCAGTGCCTCATTCATGTCAGGTGAGTGCTCTACCACTGAGCCACAACCCTAGCTCCAGTCTTGTATACTTTTTTTTTAATATTTATTTTTTAGTTTTAGGTGGGCACAATATGTTTTTATTTTTTTTTATTTTTAGGTGGGTGCTGAGTATCGAATCCAGTGCTTCACACATGCTAGGAGAGTGCTCTACCACTGAGCCACAACCCCCCTCCCCCGCGCGTCCCCCCTTTTTGTACTTCTTAACTCTGCTTTATCACCTTTTTATTTATCCTCATCCATTGCAAGTTCACATTCCTTCCCATCACTCCACTGAAACTATTTTTCCATGCCCAAACCTGCTCCTCTTTCAAATAATATTAGGACCAGCAAAACCCACTTAGTTTTCCCTTATTAAGTTCAGTTCTGGTCGAATGACATTATCATTCATCTGGTTGCATGTAAAACAAACTTGGAAACATCCTTTTCTATAATAAAATTTAATCTATAATTCATTCCTACTGATTTTACCTTAAAGAGTTTTCTTAAATTTGCTGTTGCTTTTTTACTCTCAGTGCATAGTTTCTGGCACATAGTAAGTATTCACTGAAAAGGAAAGATAAGGAACATAGAGAAAATGAGGGAGAATTAGAGTGAGACACATGGGTTCACCAATAGTTCTCTTGTTTTATTTAGAACTGTAAGATTGTATTGTAGTGCACTCTCATTTACTTTAGCTTTTTCTATAATTGTTTTTGAATTTTCAACTTGAAACAGTTGGGAAATCAATAGTTGTTTTTTGCTAATCAGAATTTGTTTTGATATTTTTATTAAGAATTTATTTTGTGACTTTAAATTGGCCCCATCCTCCTTTTAGATATGCTTATAGTCCTGTGAAACCCATGTGTTTTAGAAAGATAAAGAATGTTCTTAATATCTAGTAGATTTTCCTGGAGAATTTCTTTCCCTAGATCTGGTGACATGGTAGTTACTTAGGATATGATATGAAGGTCTTTTTTTCTGGCATTCTTCAGTTTATCAGACTTTGAGTACCTGCTGTCTAAGCTGTGTTCTTTGGATATAAGGGTGGCTGAACATAGACTTTACTCTGGGCAGGATAGTAATTTTCAATTTTAAGTTATTTCAGTTTGTAAGTTAATAAAAGTGTGGCTTTAAAAATAATAGTGTTAAGTCTTAGTTTTTTTAAAAAAATATTTTTGGTTGTAGATGGACACAATACCTTTATTTTGTTTATTTAGTTTTTTATGTGGTGCTGGGTATTGAACTCAGTGCCTTGCGCATGCTAGGTAAGCGCTTTACCACTGAGCCACAACCCCAGCCTCAAGTCTTAGTTTTGATGAGATGGGTGCTGAAACTAGATGAGAGATTATAATCTAAGCTTTTTTAATTGTATTTTTTTTGTGGAAGAAAATCCTTATGAAATCTCCATACTGTTTATTATTGTGCTATAATGTATATGTAGTTGTCAGTATAAGAGGTCATTCATTTAGTTATTTTTGTATCTCCTCAGATTGCATAATTCTTTGTTTCCTGTTAGACATTGGCACACTGATGTCCTTAAGAAGTAGTGCACTTGCTCTTCATTGAGAATTGTACCACCTCTTGTATCTCAAAGATTTATTCTTTACTCTCAAGATTTCCATGGTGTGTTACCTTTGTAACCTTTCCTAAATTGCATAAAATTCACAAACTTTGTTACATCTTTTTCAGTTCCATAATTAATGAAATGATTAACATGTGCCAAATAAAATTCATTGTTAATTTTTTCCCCTTTGGTATTCCCTATCTCAATAAATAGTCTTTCATCTACTCAGTTTTGTCCTTGACTTGTTCACCTTCACCTCCCATATCTAATCAGTTACAAAGTCCTCTCATTGTCAATTCTACTTAAATATCTTTCTAAGCCACCTCCCTTTCCTCATCAATCTGCAGTGCCTTAGTTCAAGCTAGTATGAATCTCTCATTTTTTAATTATTGCAGCTATTTGTTCTTGGTCCTGCAGCCAGCATGTTGGCTTAGAAAAGGCATGTTTGACCATGGTATTTTCCTCTTGAAACTCTAGTTGTTTTGAAAGTAAACAATCAGGATAAATTCCCAATTCCTAAATTCTTAAGCAAGGCTAATAAAATCATTTATGATCTGAAGTTGTTTGTTTTTGTCTCTAAACTGTTTTGAATCTTCTCTCTGATATTTGGATTTCAGCCATGTAGTGAACAATTGCTCTCTGTTTAGAACATATATCTTCTGTTCACCTTCTGCTTTCTATATCCTTTCTAGTTAAAATTGCTATTCTCAGCTTATCTGTTACTCTAGTTAAGTCTTCCTGAGTCTTACAATGCTTGACTCTGCTGAGACTAGTAAGATATTTATGAGGGCATGCTGCAGCCTATTGGTACTACATGTTGTAATTTCTTATCCTAATCCCCAGGTAGACTGTAAATACTATGAAGGCAATAACTGAATCTTATATGAATCTAGTAGCTTGCTCCAGGACTGGCACATTGTAGGCATTCTTTATGTATTTATTGAAAATGTCTTTTCATTCCAGACCTTGTGCTTTCCTCCATCACATTTTACTATGACCATTGTTTTACATGATACTGTTAGTTTAATGAGATACTTCTTTTGGTGTGTGTGTGTGTGTGTGTGTGTGTGCGTGTGTGTGTGTATGTGTATGTATGTTTATTTGTGTTTTTTCCACTGATTACTTTTAATCTCAGCATCTTGTTGATGCTTAGTAAATGTGCTAAATGTTGAGTAAATACTAAATCAGTTTGGGTGGAATGGGGTATGTGATTAGAAGAGTTTGTACAGTCTTTTTTTAAAATTTTTTTTTAGTTATACGTGGACACAATATCTTTATTTTGTTTATTTATTTTTATGTGGTGCTGAGGATCGAACCCAGGGTCTCACACATGCGAGGTGAGCGCTCTACCTCTGAGCCACAACCCCAGCCCTGTATAATCTTATATCTAGTGGAAGTTATTTGTAGAGAGGAGGGATAAAAGGTGTTCCAGGTAAAGGGAACAGAATTCACATAGATAAAGGTGCAAGGCTTTCAGGGAAAGAGTTCAGAGTGGCCTTAGGCAGAAAGGTTATATGTGTGTGGAGTGTTAGGAGGTCTGATGTCATTGTAGAAGTAAAGGGTAAAGTCAGGAGGATTTTAAGCTCAGGTGTGATGTGATCCAAAGGAGAATTTCATAAAGATCAGTTTTTGCAATGGTTATACATTATACACCTTACGCAGATTATTAGAAAGTGACTAGACTGAGAGAAGAGTTCATGATGTTATTTTAGCAATCTTCATGCTATCCCCTATCAGCATGAACATGATAATTCTTCATTAGATTCTAAAATGAATTGATTCTTGGGTGTCAGAGGAGAAGATTGATGGACTTAGGATATAGGGTCAGAGT